AGGGGCACGGGTTGGGGGCTGCAGCATGAAATCACATTGGGGTAGTTCATATCGAGGGGGGCAGGGGGGCTGCAGCATGAGATCTCATGCTGCAGCCCCCCTCTCCCAATATGGACTACTCCTAAGTAATCTCACTGAGGTAGTCTGTATTGGGGTAGTCCATATGGGGGGGCCTGTAGCACAAGATCATTTTGGGGTAGATCATATGGGGGGGGTGCTGTAGCATGAGATCACACTGAGGTAGTCCATATTGTGGGAAGCTGTGGCATGAGATCATATAGGGGTACATATGGGGGGGGGGGTGTAGTATGAGGTCCCTGTGGTAGCCTATGGGGAGGGGTTGTAGCATGTGATATAGTCCAAATGGGGGCTGTGTGTGTATGTGGGGGGAGGAGGTACTGTTGAGGTAAGGGCCTGCAAATAACAGGCCCTATAACCACAGCAAAGCCTGGTGGGAGCGAGCAGACTATTGCTTTGGTAACACCCTATAGGGGGTGGGATGTATCACCATAGTAACTACTTCTCCCCCTCCACCCCCAGCCTTGCTATGAGAAGGTGAAACGCTGGGTGGGTGAGAACATCTGGGCCATGGGCATCTTCGCTGCCTGCATCGGGGTTGTCCAGGTGAGGGGAGGGGGAGACACCAGATGGGTGTGGAAGAGGAGGCGGTAGAGGCATGTAATGGGGCAGGGGCTGAGCTGGCTTCTTCCCCCCATCCTTCATCTTGTCCCCCAGGTCCTTGGCCTCATCTCCTCCATGCTGATGTACTGCCAGGTGCTGCAGGCAGAGAAGTACTGTGAATGAGGGACTGCTGCCTCCACCCCCAACCTCCCCTTGGGGGAGGTCGCAGATATTACAGGTGTCCTCAGAGCCCTCCAAAGCCATAAAGAGACCTGCTCCCCCCTTTGTAGAGACTGGGGGGGGGGCCGCAAGCTCTTCCTGTACAGCCCCCTGTCCCACCCCAGGTTCTAATAAACTGTCCCCCCAGTGGCTGTGCCTGACTCTGGCTGTAGTGGCATGGGGGGGTGTGACTGGTACCCAGGGGAGGTTGGGGGGGCCCCTGGGAGAAGGGAAAGGCTGAGATGCATAAGGCATAAGGCACCTGCATGTCCCCCACTCACCCACAACTAGAGACAGCAGCCCAGGAGCTGGTAAAAGTCAGCATCTCTTTATTGGCCAAGACGGGCTTGAGGGCCAGGGCTCCCTGCCCCCTCCTCCACCAATCATCTTTGGACAAAAATAGAGGGGCAGGGCCAGGGCCCCTGAGCTCTGGTATAAAAAAGGCGGTCCAGTCCAGGGACCCACAGCAGGATTTTGGGGGGGGGGAAATGGAGAAGGGGTAGGCCAACTTAGCAGGAACCCCTTACCCCTGGAAGCTGGTCTGGGGGCCCACTAAAAGGTGGGCAGGGAGCACTGGGTCCATGGAGCTGGGGTGGATGAAGGCTCTCCCATCCTTCCTGGGGTGCTCACAGATTAACCTTCCCCCCTGCTGAAGATTTAGGGGTGTTCACTGTCAGGTGGAAGAGTGTCATTGCTACACCTACCCCATTGGGGGGGGAGATCTAACCCCCCCCACAGATAGTTTCTGTGCAAAAAAAGGGAGGGGTCAGTTACAAAAAATCCTCTATTAAGACACTTAAGGGGTCAGCCCCAGGATCCGGGGGAACTCCCAGCGTTGGGCACATGGAACTCCAGCAGCAGCTGCAGGGGGGCTGTAGTGTGGGGACTGAGGGGATCCTAGGATGTGTGTCCCCCCCTCCCCCCCAAAGCTGGGGCAAAGTAGGGGTAGGGCTCCCCCAGAACTGGGGAAGCGGCTGTAGTGTGCATGTGGACATGGTGCCTCATGCCCTAGTGTAGATACTCCCAGCCCTTTGCCCTGTGGAGGACTGAGGCCTGTGCAGCATTGGAGGGGACCCCTGTGCCCCCGCTCTCCCCCCCCAGCATTGGGGGAGGGGTCAGTACTTCCACTGCAGCTTCTGGAGGTCTCCGGTGTTGAGACGGGGGCGGGGCAGGTCCCCAAACATCTCAGTGCCGTCAGAGCCACGCAGAGCCAGGGCACGCATGCTGGCTGCAATCTTCTCCAGGTCTGGCGAAGAGTGCTGAGGGGGCCAGGGAGGGGTCAGCATTGGGGGAACCCTAAGTACCCTCCCATGACATCCCTCCTTGTGCTGCAGTCCCTACCTCCATCCAGAATGTCTCCACCCTAGCCTTCATCCCTCCAAGACCTGACCCCACAACTCTACACACACATACTACTCCTCACCTCCCCCTCAGATACAGGACTTCCCTTACTTAAACCCCCACCCCACTGCTCCCCACAACCCCAGACCCAGAACACCCCCGTTTGAGAACCTGAGCATCCCAGCCCCACCCTGACCTTGGACACCTCCACTTGAAGCTCTAGCCTTCCCAGACCTAACCCCTACTGCCCCTCACACCTGGGACCCACCCGAACTACTCACAACAGCCCCACCCCTGCTCCCAACCCAGCTTCACAACCCTCCCAGGTGCAAAATACGCACATTTAAAGCTGCTGTTCCCCACCCCCCACACATACATTTCCCCCTCCCTGCACCCCCCATCCAGGACCTCCCACACTAACCCCACTACAGCCTCGGGCCCCTAAGATGTGTACAACCTTTGCCTCTCCCCACAAAGGGCGGTGGTAGTGGTGGCAGCGGTGAGTCCCTGTCCCCTTCCCTCACCTTGGTGCTGTCCTCCTCCGAAGAGCGCTGCTCCTGGCCTGGCTCCCGGAAGGCCCAGACTGGCACAGACACGGGCAGGGACTTGGCGTACTGGTGGCTGTGGGGGGCCGGAGGGGGCTGCCCAGGGGCATCCTCACTCAGACTTCCGTCTGGAGGGGAAGGGGAAAGGCCTGATCCTGATGGACCCCATCCTACCCCTCACATCACCTCCTGCCCCAAAATCAGCAGCTTCCCCCTCTCCCCACGTGGCAGGGCCCTGCTATGCGGCTGATTATATAGCACTTGGTGCTGAGCTGCAGCTGGCTCTGGGGTGGGGTGCAAGAGCTGGCTTTACAGGGACCTCTCACGCAGCACTAAGATGCAGCTGCCTCTGGGCCGAGGCACATAGAGGGGCTGCTTGTAGAGACCCCTTACCCATGCCCCGCCATTCTCAGCGGGAGAGAAGAAATAGGGACGCACCCCAGCCCCAAACCTACCGTCTGTGCTCTCAGGGTCTGAGTCAAAGAAGGGCTCATAGTCCTGGCTTGGAGAGTCCTCATCCATCACAAAGAGACCTGGAGGAAGGAAATCAGGCTGTGTGGAGATGCACTTGCCTCTGGGGTGGAGCACTGCAAGGGGCTGCTTATACAGAGCACCAGGCAAGGGATCAGAGGTGCAGCCACCTGGGGTGCTGGGGTGTTGTGTTGGGGGCTATTTAGAGAAAACCTTCCTTGGTGCAGAGTTGCAGCAGTTTCTGTACCCTGGCACATTGGGGGCTGGTTATATAGGAGCCAGTTATATGGGGGCCCTTCACCCAGCATAAAAATGCAACCGCCTCTGGGATGAGATGCATCAAGGAGCTGGTTTACAAGGCCCCCCTCGTGGGGCATATAGTGAGAACTTTCATACAAGGCCTCCTTCGCCCAGCAAGAAAAAGGCAGCTTCTTCTGGGATGTGTTAGTCAGTCACAGGATATATGAGCTCCCAACAGGATATCCATCAGCGATCTTGATGTTGGGGTGGAAAGCAACCTGTTTAAATTCGCTGATGACACCAAAATTTGGGGGGAGGTGAGCACGCTAGCAGGGAGAGAGAGATTGCAGAAGGATCTGGATAGGTTACAGGGGTGGGCAAACAGGAACAGGATGCGTTTCAATACGGACAAGTGGAGGGTGCTGCACTTGGGTAGTAGGAACCAGCAGCACACTTATACGATGGGGAACTCCCTACTTGAGAGCATGGAGGCGGAAAGGGATCTTGGTGTCATTATTGACTCCAAGATGAACATGGGCCGACAATGCGAGGTCATGGTTGGCAGGGCTAACCGGACCTTGTCATGCATCCACAGGTGCATCTCGAGTAGAGCCAGGGAGGTGATCCTCCCCCTCTATGCGACACTGGTCAGGCCGCAGCTGGAGTATTGTGTCCAGTTCTGTGCGCCCCATTTCAGGAGGGATGTGGACAACATGGAGAGGGTCCAGAGGAGGGCCACCCGCATGATCCGGGGACAACAGGGCAGACCCTACAGTGAGAGACTGCGGGACCTGAACCTATTCAGCCTCCACAAGAGAAGGCTGAGGGGGGACCTGGTGACCGTCTATAAACTCACTAGGGGGAACCAGAAGGGTTTGGGGGAGACGCTGTTTCCCCTAGCCCCCGCTGGCATAACAAGGAGTAATGGGCACAAGTTGATGGAGAGGAGGTACAGATTGGACATCCGAAAAAACTACTTCACAGTTAGGGCGGCTAGGAGCTGGAACCAACTTCCAAGGGAGGTGGTGCTGGCCCCTACCCTGGGGATCTTTAAGAAGAGGCTGGATACCTACCTGGCTGGACTCATTTGAGTCCCGTTTTTTGTTTAGGGTTCTTTTGTTGTTCTCCTGCCCTGGCGGGGGGGGTCGGGCTAGAAGATCTATTAGGTCCCTTCCGACCCTAAAACTATGAAACTATGATATGGGCAGAGCCTGAGGGGTTTCTAGCTGGGCTAGAAAAGCACTGGGGCAGCTGCATCCGGGGAAACACAGCCCATCCCAGATACCCCCAGCCACGGCTCGGCCCAGGCTGGTGCGACCCTGAGAAAGCCTGGCATGAGTCAAGATGATCCGGTTGCTGTCTATAAATATCCAGGGGATGTCAGAAGGGGAGCAGAGCTGATGAAGCTGGGGCCCCAGCGTGGACAGGGCTTGGCCCAGCCAAGAATAGTCCCAGCCAGGGATCAGAAGCTGAAGGCTTGAGACAGCTCAGCCTGGGTTTCAGAGAGGGGAGTCACGTGTCCTAGTGTCAGGGATAGGACTGCATCAGTCAGGAGAGGCAGAGCCCTCCCACAGGGGTGCTGGTTATACAGTGCCCAGTACTGAACTTCAGGTGGCTCTGGAGTGGAGCATAGGGGCCGAGACCCTCCCATGCAGCACAGAGATGCAGCTGCCTCCAAGTGAGACCTATTTATTTGGGGTCAGCTCCCCTGGTGCTATAGGAGCAGCTCCAGAGGCTGCACCTCACCCTGTGCCTAGATGCAGCTGGTTCTGGGTAGAGCCTCAACAGCCCTCATGTGACAGTTCCCCACACCACATACTCACTCCCTGGGACCCCCTGCCTTTCCCCTGCTTTCTGCCTCCTCTTGATACAGCTACAGCTCTGCAGTAGGAGCCACAACAGAAGCAACCCAAGCCTTTGGGATCTAGGCTTACCGGAAGACTCTCCATTTCTGCCCAAACAGCCTGCAGAACCTACCCCCCCACAACTTAGGAGCTGCCTCCTCCAACCAAGAGCAATCCAAGGCAGCCCCAAGATCCCCAACTGTGTGTGTGTTGGGGGGGGGGGGGGGTGGTGGTGCTGAGCTTCAAGCTGTGTAAGGGGAGGCTCTGGGCACCTCCAGGGGTCACCAGTGTACCCAGCTGGGACCACTCTCCCACCCAGCCCCAGCCACACTGGGGGGGGTGGGGGGAGGTGTCAGGTAGGGCAGGGCCCAGACTCACCCATGGCATCACTGGGGTGCTGCTGCTGCCTCCCCTGGGTTTCTGAGTTCTTCTCCTCTTCCTCTCCCTGAGGCTCCTGCCCACCTGCAGCTTCAGCCGAGGGTGCCTGGGGGGCCCCTGGGGTCCGCTGGGGGGTGGTGGGGGGCTCCTCAGGGCAGTAGATGGAGGGATAGCTGCGGAGGCCGTGTGGTGTAGGTGAAGGCGGTGGTCTTGTGCACTACAGTGATGTCCTCCAAGTAGCGCTGGGCGGCATCCCCCAGGGCCCCACCGCCATGCTGGGCGTAGGCGAAGCCCCCCGGCTGCTGGGCCCGGTAGGCTGTGAGCAGGAACACCTCATTGCCGGTCTGGCGCCGGTACCGCTCCGCCTCTGCGATCAATGCTGCCCAGCTCTCCTGGTGGTTGTCTGCCATGCCGGCCATCCGGGCCTGCGAAATGGGGCAAACACACACCTGGGGTCACCCTGTAGCAGCAGAAGCCCAGCCCAGTTTTGGGAAGGAGTGGGTCTGTTGGTGGGGAGCTGCACACCCGGGTTGTGACCCGATCCTGGGTGGGAACTAGGGCCTAG